GAAATAGGCTATGTCCTCAAGGAGAGATTGGTATTATAATATGATGATTACAGCTAATGTTTATTGAGAACTTTGCTAATGCCTGTGCCTGGTGCTAAGCACTTTGGCTGTACTCTCCCATTAAATCCTCACAACAGCCCTGTGAGGGAAGCACCATTATTATCTTCAATGTATAGATGAAGAAACCAAAGTTTCCAGAGTGAGTTGCCCTGTTAACTAAGCTAGAACCAAGATCAGAACCCAGGACTTACTGATTCTAAAATCTGTACACCTAACTACTAGAATACGTGACAAAATTCATGGAAAACTTTCTGTGAGACTCTAGAATAAGAAATTACTGGCCTTAGTTAGAGGATTCAATGTGAGTTTCATGGGAAAAAGGGATAACTGAATTGAATTTTAAAGGATCAGTAGCAAAGAACATTCCAGAAATTGCTTTAATAAAGGCATGAGAGAGTGTGATGCCTAAATGAATAACTTTGTGTGTTTCAATGACATATGCATTGGGGGCTGTGGCAGAGGAGGGTTTGTCGAAGTTGGGAGGGACCAAATTATGAAGGATTGTGTATTGAGGAGAGAGGAAGAGTTTAAAAATGAGCTTCTTCAATGATTCCTTGATATCTCTGGAATGATCCATGTCAGATTTCTCCAAGGGTGCCACTTGTGGGAGCCTTCTCAAATATAGCTGAGGAAGTGGACTATAGGTAGGACACACTCAACTACAAGTAATCAATAGTTTAGGCAATTACTTGATTTAGAAAGGCAATTACTTTTATTTTTTTTTTAAGATTTTATTTATTTATTCATAAGAGACAGAGAGAGAGAGAGAGGCAGAGGGAGAAGCAGGCTCCCCGCTGAGCAGGGAGCCCGATGCGGGACTCGATCTCAAGACCCTGGGATCATGACCTGAGCCGAAGGCAGATGCTTAACCATCTGAGCCACCCAGGCGCCCGGCAATTACTTTTAAAATATGATTTTTGACACTTTTCTACTGCCATAAAGGACATTATCTGAAACCAGTTGTATTCATTGATCATGAGAGAGTAACAAACAGTCAAATATTAGTTGTCCAACACTGGTAGTTTTTCTTTCTTTCTTTTTTTTTTTTTAAGATTCTATTTATTTATTTGACAGAGAGAGACACAGCGAGAGAGGGAACACAAGCAGGGGGAGCGGGACGGGAAGAAGCAGGCTTCCCGCTGAGCAGGGAGCCCAATGCGGGGCTCGATCCCAGGACCCTGGGATAATGACCCGAGCCGAAGGTGGACACTTAATGACTGAGCCGCCCAGGCGCCCCACCACTGGTAGTTTTTCTCTCAGAAGTGAGGTAAGCCACACTTTTAAACTACAGATACTAGTTTTCCAGTACAGAGATTAAATAATGTGGTATTATAGACGTCGATATCCTGTGCAACCATTTAGCACTCAGTCAGTAATATTTATCATCTTATTACACATTACATGATCAAGCTATATTTATATATATATCTTATACATGTATGTATATATAATGTATGTATATAATAGTATCAAGAAAGGAACATGAGTCTATCAGGACACTTGGGTTCTAAAATGATATCAGCTAGATGTGCAATTTTTATCAAGTCATTTAATTTATCTAAGGCTCAGCTTACCTGTAAAATGAGAGGCTTGCACTAGATGTATTCTAAGATTTTGATTCTGTGAAATTAGGTAATTTCTGATCTTGATAAGCTTAAAATTAGTTCAGGACATAGAGCACATCCACAGGAAAATAGATTAAGAAGCATACAAGTAACTTAACAACAAATACTACAAAAGGAAGAATTAAAAAAAAATCAGGTTCTGGTTCAGTTAATTTGGAAGGCAAAGATTACCACTAATAAATAGAAGAAAGGTGAGTTTAGAAATTAAATGAGAAAAGATAGAAATTCTCAGTTAGTAGGTAGAATTGTGTGGGGAAGGAATATTTTGTTTCTTTTCATCATAAAATAACTGATTGTCAAGAAAACTAGCATATTTTGGGGCACCTGGGTGGCTCAGTCGGTTAAACGTCTGCCTTTGGTTCAGGTCATGATCCAGGATCCTGCTCATGCTCTCTCTTTCTGTCATATAAATAGATAAAATCTTTTTTTTTTTTTTTATTCTTCTTATGTTAATCCCCATACATTACATCATTAGTTTTAGATGTAGTGTTCCATGATTCATTGTTTGTGCATAACACCCAGTGCTCCATGCAGAATGTG